TAGTTGAAAGGCAAAATCTACAGCTATCCACTACAGTATCTGTGTTGAAACGGCCATTAAGGATCATCTTGTCGATCTTCAACTTATGGACGGGGAAACTGAGGTGCAGAGATGCTTTCTCCAGGCCCCCTGAATCACTACAACTGTGTTGTCCTTGTCCTGCCAAAGGCCCTGTCCAAACCTAACTCTGACCCTAGCCTCACCCCACCCCTTTGCTTATTGCTACTCCAAGGCTGGTTTTTCAGATAAGTCAGCAGCAAAGCATGCTTGGCTCTGTTTTTCTGCCCATCCTCCTCCTGGGAAGGACTCATGCTCCAGGTGGCTTAGCCAAAAGTTGATCATATTTGCCAGACTGTCTGGACAGGGGTCTTTGTGCTGAAACAAAATGGCCACATGATCTGATTCTGCATATCTCAAGTGACTATGGAGTCTTTCTGGGAAATCCTAATGGTCACCACCCTAAAGCATGTATAGAGACGAGCGTGGAATGATGAGAATATTCATATTTTTTTCTTTCATTCTTTTCACAAGAGCCCCTGTCATAACCCTGTGCTAGGATGCTAAGATACAACAGAAAAGTAGTCCTCAGCCCCAGAGAACACAACCCCAAAGAGAAGACAGATGTTAAAAAAAAATTACAATAATTTGGTGTTACAGGAACATGGTTCAGGGGCCCTGCAGAAAATGCAGATGTTCCTTGACTTATGATACAGTCGTGTCCCAATAAATCCATCAGAAGTTGGAAATATGTGGCCGAGCACGGTGGCTCATGCCTGTAATCCCAGCACTTTGGGAGGCTGAGGCGGGCGGATCACCTGAGGTCGGGAGTCCTAGAACAGCCTGGGCAACATGGTGAAACCCCATCTATACTAAAAGTACAAAACTTAGGTGGGTGTGGTGGTGTGCGCCTGTAGTCCCAGCTACTCAGGAGGCTTAGGCAGGAGAATTGCTTGAATCCAGGAGGCAGAGGCTGCAGTGAGCCGAGATTGTGCCAGTGCACTCCAGCCTGGGTGACAGAGCGAGACCCTGTCTCAAAGAAAAGTTGGAAATGTGTCAAAAATGCATTTAAAACACCTACGAAACATGACAGCTTAGGCTTACCTACCTTAAATGTGCTCAGAACACTTACATTAGCCTACATTTGGGCAAAATCATCTGGTAACACAGTACACTGTTCACTAGCAATTGATTATCCTGGTGATCACGTGGCTGACTGGGAGCTGTGGCTCGCTGCCTCTGCCCAGCATCCAGAGAGAATATCTTACCAGTTTCTACTGAATGCATATCACTTTCACACCATCGTAAAGTCAAAAAATCTTAAGTTGAACCACTGTAAGTCGGGAACTGTCTGTAGATGCCACACTCAAAAGGCGTGATTGAAGAGAATAGAGACTGTTTAGGAAGAAGCACCCCAGGGTTAGCAATAGTAGGAAATCACTACCACTGCTAAGCTTGAAAGAGCGGTTAGTGAAACCCAGAAACCACTAGAGCTCTACCAGAGGGCTGCCAGATGGGAGAGGTGAGCTTACATGAAGGCAGCTGCTGCCCTGAAAAGAAGAAACAGGTGGAATAAATGCCTCAATCTTTCTTCCACCTTCTGGTCTCTTGTTAGTACCTCCCATTGGCCAAACCCAACCAGGATCCCAAGGGCAAAGGAGTCCTTTGATGCAGTCCAGAGCCCAACCACCTGGGACACAAAGTGGGTGGAAAAGTAGAGAGAAGTTCTGGAGAGGCAAACAAAGACAGCTTGCACAGCTAGGAAGTTACTCAACCCAGACTAGGGGCAGAGAGAGAAGGTACGTCTACCAATGAGGATGGCTATATGGAGGAAGACTTTTCCAGGCAGAAGGGTGATGGTGTGCTAAGGCACAGGCATATGAGAGGCGTGTATTCAGGAAACCACAAGAAATCTAGTATAGCTGAAATTAGGGGACAGGGAGATGAATGGTGAGGATGGGATCAGAGGTTTGGAGGAGAGAATAGGGCTCTTTAATCATGTGGGCCTCCTGTGTGGTGGTGAGTTTGGAAAGCAATGGGGTCTGAGCCCTGTGGCTCATGCCTGTAATCTCAGGACTTTGGGAGGCCAAGGCGGGTGGATCACCTGAGGTCGGGGGTTCGAGACCAGCCTGACCAACATGGAGAAATACAACATTAGCCAGGCTTGGTGGCACATGCCTGTAGTCCCAGCTACTTGGGAGGCAGAGGCAGGAGAATCGCTTGAACCCAGGAGGCCAAGGTTGTGGTGAGCTGAGATGGCACCATTGCATTCCAGCCTGGGCAATAGCAGCAAAACTCTGTCAAAAAAAAAAAAAAAAAAAAGAAAAGAAAAAGAAAAAAGAAAGAAATAAATAAAGAAAAATAGAAAAAGAAAAAAGAAAAGCAATAGGAAGGTAGAAAATGATAAGAGACTTGCATATTAAAAAAATTACATGACTCGGCCGGGCGTGGTGGCTGACACCTGCAATGCCAGCACTTTGGGAGGCCAAGGCAGGCGGATCACGAGGTCAGGAGATCAAGACCATCCTGGCTAACACAGTGAAACCCCGTCTCTACTAAAAATAAAAAAAATTAGCTGGTGTGGTGGCAGATGCCTGTAGTCCCAGCTACTCGGGAGGCTGAGGCAGGAGAATGGTGTGAACCCGGGAGGCAGACCTTGCAGTGAGCGGAGATCGCACCACTGCACTCCAGCTTGGACGACAGAGCAAGACTCCATCTCAAAAAAAAAAAAAAAAAAAATTACATGACTCAACCAGCCTTGTGGAGAATGAAATAAGACAGATAAGTATACTTACAGCAATCTAGTGAGTGATGGTTGGGGGCAGGAACCAATAGGTTGCAAACATCAAAGAGGATTTAGCTCTGAGACATATTGAAAGGTTGAAAGGGCCTGGTGACCAATTGGGTGATGAAAAGAAGTATTGGGTTAAAATTTCCATTTATGAAAAATGGAGATTTAGAGCTGCATGTTTCAACGCAGCTGAAACGGAGCACGATCACTATTTGGGTCTGGATAACTCATTGTTATCCAGATGATAACAATGGTTATCATCTGTCCTGTACATTCTAGGATGTTTAGCACCCATTGTTTCTACTGATTGGATGTCAGTGGCACCACTGTTCCCCTATTATGGCCATCAAAAATGTCTCCAGATATTGCCAGATGTCCTCTAGGAGACACAGGGCAAAATCATCCAAGTTGAGAATTGCCAACTTGGAAGAAAATGGGTTCAGTCCTGGACACATTGCGTCCGGGGTACTTGTGAGACATGTGAGAAGAGATGTCAGGTAAGACTTGGGCTTATGGATTCGGTGCGCAAAGCAATGGTCTGGGCTGGTAACTTGGACTTAGGAATTATGAGCATTTAACTGACCTGTATTACACAATGGCCTGGAATATAAGCACAATACACATTTACCACACCATAACTTCTCAAACTCTCCTCTTAGTGAAACGCTCCCAACTGCTTTTCCCTCTTGTTGACTTTTATGTCAAGCTACATAGAGGGGAAAAAGAGGGGCCAGGTGGCCGGGGTGATCAGATATTATTGGATTGATCTATTCTAAGCATCTAGTTTAAGAGATGGAAGTTTGAGATCACTGAGTACTTGAAGCTCGTCCTGGTTCATAATCCTCTTGTCTTTGTCTCTCACCAAGGCCTTTATATTGCTCTGGCATCTTCTCTTAGTCCCCTGTAGTTGGTATTTAGTTTGAAAGATCTGGAATTCTTAGAACATTGATAACCTCTTATAACATGGTATAAACCTTTTTTATTATATAACAATACTCTGTGATGGAGAGACTATATCCCTGATGCTGAGACCTTTGGAGAACCCTCACCTATTAATTCTGTCAATCATAAAAGAAAAGAACCCCCAAGAAGAGCATAAAGGTACCTGATGAGACCCCTAGGGACAAACATCTCCTAAAAAGGGATGAGAGTCAATGTCCAAGTTCATTTCTACTAACCTGAGTGATGGCTCTCTTGCCATGATGTAGTTAGGGCAGGACGGGGAGCAAGTATCTCATTAGGCAGATTCTGAACAATAGGTGAAGCAAGGATTCTGGCATCTATGATGATGAAATATAATAGTGGCAGGCTCAGACTACAAACTTTTCCGAGCGCTTTCTATTTGCCAACTGCTTCTGTGCACATTAATGAAGGCAAGCACAACTTCAGTTTATTCCACAAGATATGGTATTTGTAAACAATCATCCCCTAATGCAACATATTTATTCAATGGCTAACAAGCTTTCTGAATATATTCATTGAGGAAGAATAAGCCAATTGTTCATCAGATTTGAGCATCTGTATCCTCCCCTAAACTTGAATCCTCCATGATGCCTCTTGAAGTAACCCAAACAGATGTGCATCAGAAAGCAAGCTGAAGATAAACAGCTGTTTCTGTATTATACCCAGAAGCAACAGTAAATTCCACTTGATGTAAGTCAGGCTGTGGAGATCTAATGAAGCTTAGCTATTCAGTGGGGTTTCAGTTTGAATTTGGGATTGCCACTGAAAAAATGTCAGCAGCAGTGTTGTTCGTTTCTTTCTTCTTTTCTTTTCTTTTTTTTTTTTTTTGAGATGGAGTCTCACTCTTGTCACCCAGGCTGGAGTGCAGTGGTGTGATCTCAACTCACTGCAACCTCCACCTCTTGGATTCAAGTGATTCTCTTGCCTCAGCCTCCGGAGTAGCTGGGATTACAGGCACATGCCACCAGGCCCGGCTAATTTTTGTATTTTCAGTAGAGATAGGTTTCCGCCATTTTGGCCAGGCTGGTCTTGAACTCCTGACCTCAAGTGATCTGCCTGCCTGGGCCTCCCAAAGTGCTGGAATTACAGGAGTGAGCCAAGTGTTGTCAGTTTCTATCATGGAACCTACAGGTATTCAGATATGCAGCAATGGTGACAGACAACAGTAAATAAACCATGTGTACATAATAAGTATGAAAATGTGAAATTTCCTTTTACGATCAAATCTTCCCTCCCAAGAACTTAGTTGTTTTTTTTTTTTTTCCCTTAAGTTTCAGTAGGTGTTTACCTTTAAAAAACTCATCAGTTGCAGTTGGCCAGACTTTTTTTCTGTATTTTTCTTGGTCTCCTCCCCCATCCCTCTTACTTAGGACTGTATTATTCTGCTAGGAATGCCGTAACAAAATGCCACAGACTGGGTGGCTTCAACAACAGAGGTTTATCAACAGAAGTTTATTTTTTCACACCTTTGGAGGCTGGAAGTCCAAGATCAAGGTGTTGGCAGGGTTAGTTTCTCCTGAGGTCCCTCTCCTCAGCTTGCAGACGGCTGCCTTCTCACTGTATTCTCACGTGGCCTCACTGTGTCCCTTCTACCTACGTGTCTCTTCCTCTTCTTAGGACACCAGTCCTAGGCTGGGTGCCGTGGCTCATGCCTGTAATCCCAGCGCTCTGAGAGTCCGAGGCAGGTGGATCACCTGAGGTCAGGAGTTCAAGACCAGCCTGGCCAACATGGTGAAACCCTGTCTCTACTAAAAATACAAAAAATTAGCCAGGCGTGGTGGTATATACCTGTAATCCCAGCTACTCAGGAGGCTAAGGCATGAAAATTGCTTGAACCTGGGAGGCAGAGGTTGCAGTGAGCTGAGATCATGCCACTGTATTCCAGCATGGGTGACAGAGCAAGGCTCCATCTCAAAAAAAAAAAAAAAAAGAAAGGAAAAAAGGACACTAGTCCTATAGGATTAGGGTCCCATTCTTATGACTTCATTTAACCTTAATCACTTCTTTAAAGGCCTTATTTCCAAATACAGTCAAATTAGGGGTTAGAGCGCCAACATATGAATTTGACATAAGTCAGTCAACAACAGGTACCATCTGTATTCTATTTCTTCCTTCACTCTCCCCACCGCCACTCTGTCTCTATTCTCAGGCAGGAGTATTATAGATGCATTTCCATTACTTATAAACATGTACACATTTGTTAAAGGGTTAGATGCATTCAAGTTGGGCATCAAGCCTCAGGCCAGGAAAGAACTTTAGTCTCTACCACTAGGCAAAGTCACAGAGCTCAGGAGAGAAAAAGAGTTAGAATTCCCAGGTTATACAGATCAGAAAGCAAGCAGCAGGATAATGAGATGAGATTATAATTTTAAATCCAGGGATAGAAAAGTAAAGGAAGTTTCTTTCATTTTCCTGTCATGCATATGACCCTTTCTTTATTCAACAGTATCAAAAAGATAGGCTGGGTACGGTGGTTCACACCTGCAATCCCAATGCTTTAGGGGGCTGAGGTGGGAGGACTGCTTGAGGTCAGGAGTTTGAGACCAGGCTGGGCAACGTGGTAAGACCCCACCTCTACTAAAACATACAAAATAAGCCAGGTGTGGGGGTGTGCACCTGTAGTCCCAGCTACTTGAAAGGCTGAGGTGGGAGGAGATCACTTGAGCCCAGGAGGTTGAGAATACAGTGGACTATGATTATACCACTGCAACCCAGCCTGGGTAAGAGAGTGAGACCCTCATCTCCAAAAAAAAAAAAATATATATATATATATATATACACACACACACACACACACACACACACACACACACATAAGATAACTGAAGGGAAATGCCATTTTCTTGTTATGAAGTCTCCTCAAGTTTCTCACGGACATTTATTTGGATGGGCACAGCCTACCTCCCAGAGTAAACTTTGGGCCTCTCTCTCAAGTAGGCATCTCCGACGCCCTACAATCCATTCCCAGTGATCTGGCATTGGGTAAAGAAGGGGTGCTGCCTGGAGTGCTGCCAGCAGACCACAGCACCACCCCAATGCTCCAGGCCAAAACCCTCCATCACAGGCTGGTGTCGACCAGCTGCCCAGGCTGTTGTAGCACCTGCTTCCTCCTGTTTATAGCATTCAGAACTTTCTTCCTGGGACCCAGCTGCATTTGTATGCTCTGAAGGTCCTCATCAGAGCAGAGCAGCAGAGCTTCTAGATCAATCTGCTCTCTTTTAAAGATAGGCAGGAATTCTTCCAAGTGCTGAGACAGCAAGAACACTTCCAGGGGTGTGGCGTCGACCACATCTTCCTCCCACTCCACTTCATCCTCACCCCACGGCAGATCATCTTTGAGGCCGTTTTCCTCTTCCTCTTCATCAGCTGCACCCTCATCAGCCTCTGATGTTCCTTGTGTTTGAAACAATTCACTGGGCAGTTTAAAACCCAACTCCCTCTTGCTATCTGAGATGTCTTCAGGACTCAATATCCTGTTCCTTCTAAAAACAATACTTCCTAGACCTGGACGATTGAGAATGGATTCGTGGTGCACACTGCTGTCCTCCTCTGCTGACAACTGGAGCTTCTCTTTGAAGTCCCCTGAGAACGAGTCTTCCTCTTCCTCTCTGAACACTTCCATCACGTTCCTCTGCCCACTTCTGCCTTCCTTCCCCACCTGTTCTGCTGTATCTTTGTTCTTCTTGAACTTGATCTTGAAAGTATCTTTAATGCCCTTAGATAGTGACCCGAATGTGCCAGGAGCAGAAGCATTTGAAGGGAATGACCTGGAGAAGGTACCCTTGGAAGAAGAGAGAGTCCCAGACTCCTCCTTGCTGTAGGTGTGGGCCATCTTATTTTGGTGCTTCTCCTGGAGCCTCTCACACTCTTTGATCTGCCTCCTGGCATTCTTCTGAGCCTGCTCCTTCAGCCTGGTGACCTTCTTGGGGTTCATGATATTCTGCGCAGTGGCAGCCTTGTCCAAGAGAGCAACACATTCATTCTGCTCCCTGCTGGCAGCAGCATCCAGCGGAGTCTGTAAGTCATTATCCAGGGCAAAGATGTTGGCACCAAAGTTGACCAGGAATGAGACACAGTGGGCATGGCCATTGGAGGCTGCAAAATGTAGAGGAGTGTTTCCCCAGATGTCACACCTATCAGGGTCCCCTCTAGAAGAGAAAATACAAAAAAGTAAATAAACAACATGTTGGACATTTTTTTCTGAATTGGGCTCCAAAAATTCAAAACAAAAATAAAGAACAAAAGGCATGTTAATGCAAACATGTTCATCCCGACTTGACATTGTTATAAGATACTGGCTGCAAGTCCAGCTATCTTAGAACCATCCCATCTTAAAACCACATGGCCAGAAACAGAGTCCATCTCTACCCTGTGTCTCCTTTTTGTTTGTTTCTTTTGTTTTGTTTTGAGACAGGTTCTCACTCTATCTCCCAGGCTGGAGTGGAGTGGTGTGATCACAGCTTATTGGCAGCCTTGACCTCCCAGACTCAGTTTATTCTCCCCACTCAGCCTCCCGAATAGCTGAGACTACAGGCATGCACCATCACACCTGGCTAATTTTTTGTAGAGACAGGGTTTCACCATGTTGCCAGGCTAGTTGCAAACTCCTGGACTCAAGCCATCTGCTCACCTTGGTGTCCCAAAGTGTTGGGATCACAGGTGTAAGCCACCACACCCAGCTGTGTCTCCTTTTTAGAAGCAATAAAAACTTTCTAAGAAATTCTCCAGCCAAACAACTTTCTTGTCTCATTGGCCAGCACTGGGTCACATGCCTAAGAGATGTGAAACATAGTACTGTGTTTAACTTAGATCAACTGGATTTTGCCCTGAAACTAGGCATAGGATTGTTCAATGGCTCCTCAAGAAAATAATAAAATCAAAATCCTAATTTGTAGCATGTGCCAATTTCTGTGGTGTAAATACATCCACCATGGCAGATTTCAAGCTACCAATGTGACATCGCTAGACACAGAGTTTGGAAGAGATCCACAGTAGCATACCATTATCAACCATTTCCACCAGGTAGATATAATGGACATGAATTACCTTAAGAGATAGGTAAGAGTGAAAGGTATTAAAATAAGTAGAGACTTTTGTGTAAACTTTTTAATATAATTTGTTAAATTAAAGGTTAAATTTTTTTTTTTTTTTTTTTTTTTTTGAGATGAAGTCTTGCTCTGTCGCCAAGGCTGGAGTACAGTGGTGCGATCTTGGCTCACTGCCTCCCAGGTTCAAGCAATTCTCCTGCTTCAGCCTCCCGAGTAGCTGGAACTATAGGCACCCGCCACTGCACCCAGCTAATTTTTGTATTTTTAGTAGAGACAGGTTTCACCATGTTGGTCAGGCTGGTCTTAAATCCTGATCTCAGGTGATCCACCCGACTCAACCTCCAAAGTACTAGGAGTACAATTGTGAGCCACCACACCCAGCCTGTAATTTTATTTTTAAGAATGGCTATGTTCTCAGAAGCTCAGGCTTACAGTAACCTATAATTGAACCACTGTACTACAGCCTGGGCAACACAGTAATACCCTGTCTTAAAAAAAAGAAAAAGGCTAGGCTCAGTGGCTCATGCCTGTAATCCCAGCACTGGGAGGATGAGGTGGGAGATTTGCTTGAGGCTGGGCATTCAAGACCAGACTGGGAAACACAGCAAGACCTGTCTCCATTAAATATTTTTTTAAATAAAAATAATAAAAAGTAAAAAAGAATGGCTATGTTTAACTGCCAAACTTTCTAAAATTTAGAAATAACTCCTGACAAGCTGGTTCCAGCATGCTACTGCTACCCTCCCGAATTGAGTCACATGTGGGGAAATAAATAACTGAACCAAACTCAGTCCCCATCAGCAGAAAAGAAGAAAGAAATGGATGTTGGGGAGGTAGCAAACAGTCTCTGTTATAAACACTATTCATTAAAAGGGCATTACATCTCTATTTATTTCTCTACTTACTTCCATATGACTACAGGTTCATATAAGTGTGTCATTCTACAAAAGTTTAAGGAGGAATTGAAGATATTATTAGATGGTATTAAGGCCAGAAACCCAATGCCTGGCACAGAGCAGGGACATAGTAGGTGCTCCAGTATTTGTGGAATGAATGAAAACCTACTGGAATCCTGCTCAAGGCAGCAAACTCTCCTCTCCTACGAGGACTTGAGTTACAAACAGGAACAGATGAAAAGTCGAGTAACTTTTTTAAATGATGGCCAGAGCCATGCACTACTGCTGAGAACCCTAATACATATACTAAGGGGTCCTTCCTTTGCCCTAGTCTAGACTCCAAAATCAGGATCTCACTAAACTCTGGCCAGCCTGGCCCCATGGAAAGAGGACAGTGAGTCTGAGAAGTCCTCTTAACATTCCCGGAAAGTAGAGGGCAGAAACAGAAGAGAAGATCTGCACCCTTGCAAATGACCTGTCAGTGCGCCATGACCCTTCTACTAGTTCCTGGCTGCTCAAAGTTTGGTCTCCAGACCAGAAGCATCACCTGTGAGTTTGTTAGAAGTTCAGAAGACTCTCACGCCTGAAATCCCAGCACTTTGGGAGGTTGAGGCGGGTGGATTACGAGGTCAGGAGTTCAAGATCAGCCTGGCCAACATTGTGAAACCCTGTCTCTATTAAAAATACAAAAATTAGCTGGGCATGGTGGCATGCACCTGTAATCCCCGTTACTCAGGAGGCTGAGGCAGAAAATTGCTTAAACCCAGGAGGTGGAGGTTGCAGTGAGCCAAGATCACACGACTGCACTCTGGCCTGGGCGACAGTGTGAGACTCCATCTCCCCCCACCCCCCCAAAAAAAGTACAGAAGACTTCCATCCAGACTTATTGAATCAGAATCTACACTTTAGCAAGATCTGCAGGTGATTCATAGGCTCACTAAAGATTGAAAAGGACTTCACTGGTTTAAGGGAGGAGATCACCCCTCATATTGTCTTATGCCCAACTTCTGCCTCCAAAGAAAGAAGATGTACAAACTAAAAGTCAGAAATGAAATCCACAGGCAGACAGCCCGGCGCCACACCCTGGGCCTGGTAGTTAAAGATCGATCCCTGACCTAATCAGTTATGTTATCCATAGATTACAGACATTGTATAGAAATGCACTGTGAAAATCCCTATCCTGTTTTGTTCCGATCTAATTACTGGTGCATGCGGCCCCCAGTCACATACCCGCTGCTTGCTTAATCAATCACGATGCCCTTACATGCACCCTCTTACTGTTGTGAGCCCTTAAAATGGACAGGAATTGCTCACTCGGGGAGCTTGGCTCTTGAGACAGGAGTCTTGCCTATGCTCCTGGCTGAATAAACCTCTTCCTTCTTTAACTCGGTGTCTGAGGAGTTTTGTCTGCAGCTTGTCCTGCTACATTTCTTGATTCCCTGACCAGGAAGCGAGGTGATTGCTGGATAGTTGAGGCAGCTCCTTAGGCAGCTTAAGCCTGCCCTGTGGAACATCCCTGTGGGGGACTCTGACCAGTTGAGCGACATGGATCCTGAGAGCGCTCCCTGGTAGGCATTTGCCCTGGTGGGATGCCTCACCAGAGCAGTGTGTGGCAGGCCCCAGTGGAGGGTCAATGCAGAACACTGGGAAGGAACGGGCACTTGGAGTCTGGACATCTAAAACTTGGTAAGACTAGTCTTTGGAACTTGCCCACTCTGTTTGAGTGGAAACATGGCCTGATCACCCTTTATCGGCACGTTGGTTTTGGTTTTGACTTGGTTTGAATTGCTTGACAGGACCAGTCTTGGGAACCTGCCCACTCCATTTGAGTGGAAGCGTGGCCTCATCACCCACGGCATGCCTTTATCGGCACTTTGGTTTTGGTTTTGGTTTTGACTTGGTTTGAATTGCTTGACAGGATTGGTCTTGGGAACTTGCCTATTCCGTTTGAGTGGAAGCGTGGTCTGATCACCCACGGTGTGCCCGTACTGGCACTTTGGTTTTTGTTTTTGACTTGACTTGGATTGCTTGATACTTTGGTTTTGGTTTTGACCTGGCTTGGATTTCTGGACACTCTGATTTTAGTTTTGATTTTGGTTTGGTGTAAACTGCAAAAGTGTGTGTGTGCCCTTTTTACCCGTTCTTTGTTTTGTGGTGTGCGTGTGGTGTGAGCATGGTGTTTTGTCTCGAAGAAGCATGGATCAGGCACAAATAAGCCCACTCTACTAGGAACTATGTTGAAAAATTTCAAAAAAGGATTTAAGGGAGACTATGGAGTACTATGACACCAGGAAAACTTAAAACTTTGTGTAAGACTGGCCAGCATTAGAGTTGGTTGGCCATTAGCAGGAAGCCTAGATAGGTCCCTTGTTTCAAAGGTATGGCACAAGGTAACCTGTAAGCCAGGACACCCAGACCAGCTCCCATACACAGCCACTTGGTTACGCTGATTTTACACCCCCCACCCTCAACACACAGTGGTTGAGAGAACAGCAGCGTAAGCGGCTGGCAGATGCAAAGAAAGAGAGAGGAAAAGAGGCACAGAGAGAGAGAAAGAGACAGAGAGGACGAGACAGACAAAGAGGGAGTCAAGGAGTGAGAGGAAAAAAAAGAAAGAGAGAGGCAGAGAGAGAGAGGAAGAGACAGAGGCAAAACAAAGAGAGATAGACAAAGTCAAAGAGAGAAAAAAAGTGAGAAAGAGGTATACAAGTAGTAAAGGAAAAAAAATGCCATCTATACCAATTCTAAGTTAATTTAGACAAAACAAGGTCTTATTAATAGTAAAGGATAATTAAAATCCCAAACTTACAAAGTTTTCAATAAAAGTAAAGTTTGCTAAAAGTTAATAGTGTAACATGTATTATAGTAACTTCTATTCTTGTGGCCTTAGCAGTCTAGTCCACAGACTAAAAAAAAAGTTGGGGGGTGGGGATGAGGGGCGGAATTTATACAAAAAGAGTGTTACATGGTAAATTCTTGTCCTGAAATAAACTACCTGGTTGTTTAAAGAAAGAAATGTTTGTAATAAGTCAGAAAGTTAAGGCATGTCAAAAAATTGCCTGTAAAAGTTGTGAAAGAAAAAAAGTTATAAAAAAAAAAGTGTGTTAAAAAAAGAATTTATGCAAGAAATGTTGTATGATTTAAAAGTAATTAGGCCTCCTAAATGTAAAACTATTGAAGAGAGAGTTTATGTGCAAGGTGTAT